AACATAAAAACATCAAAAAACCAATGGTTTTTCAACAAAAAAATGTCAAAATCTCATCCCGCGCGCTCTTGCGGATTCGCAGGAAACCCAACACTTTTTAAACATTTCTGTCAAACGGGCTTTTGCGAGCAACTTTTTCGAACTTCTGCGACAACGGTTGCGCACCTGCCAGGGCCATCATCCCTGTCAAATAATACCATGCGGGACACATTCGTTTTTTCTTCGCGCGCGCACGCCGAAATCTCCAAAAACCATTGGGCTTCTTAAGAATTTTAGCACCGCGCATCATAAAATCACACGAATCGCACCGTAGGTCCTCGAAAAACACCTGCACGACTTTTCAAAATTTCCACCCGCGCGCGCTGTCCTAACAACTTCTGTGGGTGTGTACTCCACGCCAGTGTAGTAGCCACGGTCGTCCGCAGGCCACGAAGTGAAGTGTCCGAACGCCATAGGGCGGGAAGCTGGGTGTGGGTGGTGGCGAAGAGTCGTGTGGATATTTGGTAGAGCTTGCACTGCCCCCCCAGAAAGTGGGGGTATTGGCTGGCGTCGCATGAAAACCCTGGCACTGGTGAGAACACTGAGCGTTCGGGTAAAGTGATTGTTGTTGTTGTTGTTGCTGTTTTTGTTGGTGGTGCTGCTGTTGTTGACCCAGCCCGCAACCTACCCCGCGACCCGCCCCGCGACCCGCCCCCGACCCAACCCGCGACCCACCCGCGACCAACCCCGCGACCCACCCGCGACAACCGCGACCCACTCGCGACCCCCCCGCGACCCACCCGCGACCCACCCCGCGACCCATGCGCGACCCACCCCGCGACCCGCCCCCGACCCAACCCGCGACCCACTCGCGACCCACCCCGCGACCCACTTGCGACCCACTTGCGACCCACCCTCGACAGCAAAACCCCCGACCCACCCCCGACCCACCCCGCGACCCACATTGCGACCCACCCCGACCCACTTCCAGCGACCGCCACTCCCGCGACCCCACCCACCTCCGCGACCGATCCCCGCGACCCACCCCGCGACCACCCCGTGTGACCCAACGGCGCGGACCCACCACGACGACCCACCCCTGACCCCACCCGCGACATAACGCGGCTCACGCGCGACCCACCGCGCGCGCGAACCCAGACCCGCGCGCCCCCAACCGCGACCCACCCACCCGCGACCCACCCCGCGACCCACCCCGCGACCTACCCGCGACCGAACCCGCGGCTAACGCGGGACACACCCCGCGACCCACCCGCGACCCACCCGGCGACCCCACCCCGCGACCCACCCGCGACCCAACAACGACTCACCTGCGACCCAGCCGCGACCCATTTGCGACCCACCCGCGACGTACGCACATTGGTTTAACGAAAAAATCGGCGCCTGCGGCGGGCTTCTTTGAGAGTCTCGCAGACTGCCGACGTCCCCACTGCCCCCTCACTCTTATCCGCATCTGCGGGGTAGTATGTGTATATATATGTATGTACGTATGTAAGTATATACACATATATATATGTATATATATATATATGTATGTATGTATCTAGGCATGCATGCATGCATGTATGTATGTGTGTATGTATGTGTGTTTATATGTATGTATGTACGTATGTAAACATATAAGTAAGTAAGCAAGCATGTAAGTAAGTAGGTATGTATGCATGTATGTCTGTATGTGTGTATGCCTGTCTGTCTGTCTGCCTGCCTGTCTGTCTGCCTGCCTGTCTGTCTGTCTGTCTGTCTGTCTGTCTGTCTGTCTGTCTGTCTGTCTGTCTGTCTGTCTGTCTGTCTCTATGTACGTATGTATGCATGCATGTATGTATGTATGTATGCATGCATGTATGTATGTACGTCTATGTTGGTTTGTTTGTTTGTATACATGTATGTATGTATGTGTGTATGTATGTGCGTATGTATGAAAATAAGTATGTATGGATGCATGGACTATAACCACGCGCGCGTCTCCTGTGCGCTCAAGCTCCAGTTGGGGTCCCGACCATTTGCGTCGCACGGAACATGATTGCCACGGACCTCATCGAGGCTCGTCCTCGCCATGGTGGACATCCTCGCAGTCGTCCCTGTGTTTGTCCCCCCTGGATCGTCGTCCTCGTCGGCCCGTGCCTGACCCTGGACCCTGGCCCCCTGGACCCTGGGACAGTACCTTCCCGCGCGCGCATTCTGACGAGGCAAACCCGCCGGCAATCACGATGAGAACAACATGCACAGACCGAGGCGCGAAACGTCATCAGCGTCGTCATCCTCATTGTCATCATGAGGGCCCTCATGTGCATCATTATCATCGCCAAGGACGTCACCACCATAGTGTAGTCACTATTAGTTTCATCACCTTCAAGGTCGCCGTCGTCATACAAATCATCATCCTCGTCATCGTCGTCGTCATTGCCATCGCCATCGTCACAGCAAATTTGCGTGTTTGGGAGTGGCGTTTCCAGAGCACGTGACATGGGGTGTGACGGACGTCATCATCACTATCCGCACCACCATCGGCGCCGTCATCACCACGGAGGTGACCAGCAGCACCGCCAAGGACGTTATCGTCATTTTGAAAGGAGGAGGAGAAGGAGGAGGAGCGAGCGAGCGAGCAGAAGCCGAGGGGCAGTCGATGCGGCCGCGGGCCGAGGAGCTCGACGGCTTCACTTTACCCCACGCTCGGAGCACCGCCAGAGGGAACCGAAGTCGTCCAAGGGTGGTGCCCCGAGCGTGGGGAGTGCGAAGGAGGAGGAGGAGGAGGAGGAGGAGGAGGAGGAGGAGGAGGGAGGGGGGAGTAGGAGGAGGATGAGGGAGGAGGAGGGTGAGGAGGAGAGGAGGGAGGAGGATGAATGATGAGGAGAGGAGGGGGAGGATGAGGAGGCGGAGGAGGAGGAGGAGGAGGAGGAGGAGGAGGAGGAGGAGGAGGAGGAGGAGGAGGAGGAGGAGGAGGAGGAGCAGAAGGACGCTGCTGCGAACGACGGAATGAGCGCGTCCGCATGGCCCGAACACGCCCTGCTCCCGAGGAGGGCACACGGGCGGGCCTCGCCTCCCTGCCGGGCCCTCCTAGAAGCGGCGCCCGCTCCCGCGACGAGCCCGACGAGGAGGGCGGCCCACCCGCGCGGAATCCCGCGCCCGCTCGCGCGCCCGCTGCAAGGGCCCCCCCGCGCCGAAGAGCTCCTCCGCGTCGCCCTCCTTCCGCGGAGCCGCCGTCGAGGGCGCCGAGGGGGAGGCGCGGACACGACCGCGACCGCGCCCGTAGCAGCGCCAGCGCCAGGTGCCGCAGCTGTGGGCGGAGCGAAGGGCGCAGCGCCTGGCGCGCACGGGGCAGGCAGCCCCCGGGCGGCCGCGCGGGGCAGCCGCCAAACAGCGCGCAGGAGGCCCTCGGCCGACCGCTGCCAGGGGCGCGTTTTGGGCGAGAACGTCGAGGCGAATCCAGCCGTGGCGACGACGAGCGACAACGAGGCGAGGGCAGCGGCACCCGTCGATCGGAAGAGGTGGGTGCAAACACGAAGTAGGCCAGCGGATAACAATAGAGCGGGTGCAGGCCACCCTGGAGAACAAGAAAGCACAGCAAACGCAGATCGATTCCTGAAGTTCTTGGAGTGCAGACATACAGTGCGGGCGCGGCCGCAAGAAACCTTCGCAAGAAACCCAATCCTGAAAACCCGCGCGCCAACGCATCAGCTTCTTCGACGGTTGCGGGAAGTCACCGCGCAGCGCGCGGAGCGAAGCAACCCAGGGCACCTTGACGAAGAGCAAATGGTTTCCTGATGCGCGCCCCCACTGTAGCCTCTGGTGGGCGGCGGGGGGGGGGGGGGCATGCACGGGGAGGGCTCCCGGCGGCGCGCGGCGCTCGTGCGAGCGCGCGTGAGCGAGGGGGGCGCAGGCCTCTGGGCACTTAGGCCCCTGCTGCCGCATCGCGCCCAAGGACGGGCGAGCCGCGCGCCCGAGGGTCACGCTCTCCTCCTCCTCCTCCTCCTTCTCCTCCTCCTCCTGCTCCTCCTGCTCCTCCTCCTCCTCCTCCTCCTCCTCCTCCTCCTCCTCCTCCTCCCCCTCCTCCTCCTCCCCCTCTTTCTCCTCCTCCTCCTCCTCCTCCTCCTCCTGGGGCTGCGAGCGGCGCGCCACGCGCAGCTTCATCGCCCCAGCGCCCGGCATCTGGCGTGGGAGTCCCCGGCATCACCAGCTGGGCGGCCGCGCACAGCGGCTGAGCAGGAATGGAGCAGGCCAAGTGGAGAATGGGAGGAGGGGGAGGAGGAGGGGGAGGAGGAGGAAGAGGAGGAGGAGGGTAAGGGGAGAGGAGGAGGAGGAGGAGGAGGAGGAGGAGGAGGAGGAGGAGGGAAAGGAGGAGGTAAGGAGGAGGAGAGGAGGCGGAGGAGGAGGGGGCGGGAGAGGAAGGAGAAGAGGAGAGGGCGAGGGAGGGAGGAGGGAAGGGAGGGACAGAAGCCACACCTCAACCTCCATGGTGGTATCTGGAGGTCTTCAGCAGCCTCTGGCGGCCTCTGGAGGCCTGTGCAGGTCCACGGATGCCTCCGCGCCGCTGCAGGGACCTCCGCTTTCTCCTCCTCCGACTCAGAACCTCCAGCCCTTCGCGGCGATGTCATCGCCCTCCTCCTAGGTGTGGGGAAGGAGGAGGAGGGGGAGGAGGAGGAGGAGGAGGAGGAGGAGGAGGAGGAGGAGGAGGAGGAGGTTTGTTCATGCTATCGTCATCGTGCTGCCCTCGGGAACCCTGGACGAGGAGGGCTCCTATGGCCACGGCGAGCCTCGGCCACGGCAGGCTCCCCGCCCTGGATATGCGTGAAAAAGGGGCCGAACACCGGATGCCCCCCGAGCCCGACACGGGTCCATATGTCATGGTATTGACCGTCCTCCTCTTTCTCTCTCTCTCTCTCTCTCTCTCTCTCTCTCTCTCTCTCTCTCTCTCTCCTCCTCCTCCCACCTTCTCTGCCTCCTCCTCCTCCTCCTCCTCCTCCTCCTCCTCCTCCTCCTCCTCCTCCTCCTCCTCCATGGTGGACCTCGGGGTCGAAGAGGCGGAAGCGCTGCAGGAGGTGAGGCTCCACAAGATCCTGCACGCCCCATCGCGCTGGGGGCACCCAGCGCCAGGTGAGCGACGAGCGAGAACGGCCCTTCTCGCACGGCGGCACTGCGCGGTGGCCTGCGCGAAGCGCTCGCGCGGAGCACCACGCGGACAGGACGACGCGTGCAGCCTGCGGACGCCTCCCGGCCGGGCGTCCGAGCAGGTGGGGTCGGAGGACTGCGCCGCCCTGCCGGTGCGGCGGCGGCAGCGACACTTCGGCGCCGTCGGCGCGGAGAAGGCCGGGCCCCAGGATGCGAGGCCGGCCTCTGCCGCACGGCGGGCTCTCGGAGGGCAGGCTCCAGGCCTCCAGCGTGCGAGGGGTGAGACTCCTCCTCCTCCTCCTCCTCCTCCTCCTCCTCCTCCTCGATCTTCCTTCTCCTCCTCCTCCTCCTCCTCCTCCTCCTCCTCCTCCTCGATCCTCCTGCTCGATCCTGTTCCGCGATCCTCCTCCTGCTCGGCGATGCATCGGGCAATATGGCGGACTCCCCCTACCCGGTCTATATAGGGGGCCTGGAACCTGCGCTCCGGGCATACGGGAGGGGTAGAAAACAACAGATCGTCGGAGATCTGGGGCTCTGCCCCCCCATCCGTGCCCTCGCTCAACGCCCCTTTTCCGTCGTCGTCCTCCTCCTCGTCCGGCCTCCCCTCCTCTTCCTCTTTCCTCTCCGCCTCTCCTCCTCCGCTCTCCTGCCTCCTCCTCCTCCTCCTCCTCCCCTCCTCCTCCTTTCCCCTCCTGTTTCCGGTTCGTGTTCCTTGTTCTCTCTCCTGTTCTGTTTTTCCTCCACGTTCGCAGGTTCCTTCCTCTATTCCTGCTTTCCTGCTCCTGTCCTGCTCCTGTTCCTCCTCCTCCTGTTCCTCCTCCTCCCTCCTCCTCCTCCTCCTCTTGTTCCTCCTCCTCACCCACTCCTCCTCCTCCTCCTCCTCCCCTCCCCCTCGTCCTCCCCTCGTCCCAGCCCTCCCCTCGTCCTCCCCTCGTCCTCCCCTCGTCCTCCTCCTCTCCTTACCCACTCGTCCCCTCCTCGTTCTCGCCCTCGCCGTCGTCGTCCTCCCCTCCTCCTTCTCCTCCTCCTCCTCCTCCTCCTCCTCCTCCTCCTCCTCCTCCTCCTCCTCCTCCTCCTCCTCCTCCTTCCCCCCCCATCCGCGCCCCGAGATCTCCTCTCCTGAGGGCTGCGCGGGCACGGGCTGGGCCGACAGGCGTTCCCGGCATACACGGCGCAGAGGCACGACGCGAGCCAGCACCAGACGGAACCCCACTCGTCACCGAGGAGCCTGCCCTCAGGAGGGGAGGGAGGAGAAGAAAGAAAGGAAGGAGAAGGAAGAGAGGGAGGGGGCGGGGGGGAAACATCGAACTGAATCGGCACCACGTCACCGAAACAGATCGACGATAGGCTCCCGATCGCGGAGCCACGCGTTCCCAGTAAGGGTGGGCTATCAGGCCACCATCGGCTATAAATGAACGACTGGGACCGGTTCGCTGCCACCAGAGCCAAACCTCTCCGTAACGTTGCCCCTGACAAACAGGGGGTATGGCGACACCAATGCCTGACTTTGCGGGAGCTCTGAGTAAACTAACGAATTAGGGCTGAAATCGGGGGCGCATGCACGAAAGCCCATCCTCGATAGCGCACCCCCCCCTGGGGCTGTATCCGAGCTTCCCTGTTTCTCTGAGATCTGCCATTGCGGAGAGATGCAAACCCGCGAGAAATCACGCCGGCAGTCGACACCATGTTCCGGCTGTATGTTTCGGGCCAGATCGATGTGTGATGGCTCCCGTGCCCGAAATCCAAAGGAAACGCCAGGCGCGCACTTGCAACGCACTGATATGAGGGCTCTCTTTGGGCCGCGATCAATGGGGGAGCGACACAAGGAGCGGCAGCGAGGACTGCAGAAAAAGGGCCGTTCAGGGCCCATGTAGGGCCCAGAAAGGAAGCTCGATGGCCCGACAAGGGCACCTTTTTCCCCCCCGTCCATCGGCCCCCCCCCAATTCAGCGACGCCCAGTCCCTGCGCGGCACGACCTTTTCAAGGCAGGGAGGGATCTCGGAACCTCGCGGTGACGAGCCCCCCGCGAACGGCAAAAAGGCATGACAGGGGGCAAACAGGGCACGCAAGGCAACGCTCGCAGGCAGACGGAGGTAGATGATGATGATGACGATGATGATGATGATGATGATGATGCTGGTGACGATGATGATGGTGATGATGATGAGGAATAGGGGGGGCGTAGAAGAGGGGGGGAGGCGGTGGAGAAGGGGGGGAGGAGGCGAAGGTGGGAGGAAGAGGAGGGGGGAGGAGGAGGGAGAAGAGACGAAGAGGAGGAGGAAGAAGAGGACGAGGAGGCGGAGGAGGTATGAGGAAGCCGGAGGGGGAGTAGGAGGAAAAGGAGGAGGAGGAGGAGGAGGAGAGGAGAGGAGGAGGAGGAAGGATGAGGAAGGGGAGAGGAGGAGGAGAAGGAGGAAAAGAGGAGGAGACGGAGGGGATTGAGAGGGGGGGGAGGGGGGGGAGGCGGAGGGGCGGAGTAGGAAGAGGGGTAGGAGGAGGAGGAGGAGGAGGAGGAGGAGGAGGAGGAGGAGGAGGAGGAGGAGGAGGAGGTTCCTGCAGTTCCCCCCAGCCGCAGCGGTTGTCTGGCCAACGCCCGCGGCTCTTGCCCCTGCCCCAGGTATGTCCCCATTCTCAAGGGGTTCCCGTCCAGGGCATGGTGCGTCCGCGCTCGGGCGCCGCTTGCGGTGCGCTCGCCTCTGGCCGTTCCCCTGGGTGCGCCCGCTTTCTCAGCGGGCTCCTCAGGGTTCGCGGCTCTGGGCGGCGCCCGCTCCGTCCTTCTGGCGCTATCCCCGCGCCGCGGGCCCCGCTGCCTGGCCGCTCCCCTGGGCGCGCCCGCTTTCTCAACGGACTCCCCAGGGTGTGCGGCGCTGGGTGGGCGCCCCACGGTCGCGGGCTTGCGCCCCTCTGCTTCGGGCGACGCCCGCGGCGCCTGGGCCCCTCTCCCCGGTGCGCCCCCATTCCCAAGGGGCACCCGCTCGGAGTATGGGGCGGCCGCTGAGGCAACGCTCGCGCCCGCCCTCCCGCCCTGCTTCTCCGCGCCCGCATCGTGCTCCGCCTCAGGGGCGGCCCCCAGGCGCTCGGCCTCCTTCGCGGCATCCGCGGTTCCCTGGCGTGCGTCCGCCGCCTGCTGGAGCGCGGCTTCCTTCGCGGCCTCAGCTGCCCCCTGGCGCGCGGCCGCCGCCCGCAGCAGCGCGTCCCGCGACGTCCGCGCCGCGGCCTCCGTTGCGAGGGCGTCCGCGCGCGCCGCGGCCAGCTGCGTGCGGGCGTGTGCGGCGCGGCGCCGCGCGTCAGCCAGCCGCTTGGCTTTCGGCCCGCTGCGCGTGGGCGCCTCGCGGTCGGCGGCGATCGGGCCCGGGGGGCGCGTGCCTTGGCCAGCGGTGCTGCTCGGCGCCGCCGCCCTGTGGCCCGCTGCTCGGCGGCCTGCGGCCTCGCCAGCTGCCCCTTGGAACGCAGCTCCTGGTAGGTCGATTCCTGTCCGCCGCTGGCGTCCCTGGTCGCTCCATCCGAGGCGCAAGCTCGGGTCGCCAGCGCGGGGTCGTCTGGTCTGGCCCGTTCCGCGGCGCTGGCCACTCGGAGCAGGCTCCCGAGGGGCGCGGCCTCGGCGGACGTGTGCTCCGCCTCCGTCGGGCACGAGGCTTTGGCCTCGGCGCCCTGCGCTGCCTCAGCCAGATGCTCGGTTTCCAAGTGCTGCTCCAGCCCAGCGGCGCGAGCGGCTGCCAGCGCCTCGGCAGTCGCGGCCTGTTGGAGGAGGGGGAGGGGGGGAGGGAGGAAGAGGAGGAGGAGGAGGAGGAGGAGGAG